GGTTTTTGAGAGTTTTGTAAAATATAATATGAACATGTTTCAGGGCTATCATTAACTATTGCAGGCCACCACGGATAGCCAGACACACGAACCCATACAATGCTACCAGCATTATATTCATTTTCAATTAAATCAGCCTCAATGACAGGTGTCTTAGGTATTTCTGGTATAGTGCAAGATGCTATTGACTTATCTATAAAATCAAATAAAAATATTATAACACAAAGAACACATATAAAGGCAAAACTTCAAAGAAGATCTACTAAAATGTTTACACACCAGAATTCATTTCACAGTACCATATCTTTGGCACATCTGTTGGATCATGATATTCTTCAACATATCTCCATTTCTTACATGTAGCTCTACAACACTCAACCCAGAGACCAGTGTCTCTTCTTTTCTGTAACCAATGTAACTTCTTTTCCCAAGTAAGATTATTGTCGCATTGAGACAACACTTCAGTATTCGAATCAAATACTATAAAACAAATAAGATTCTATTTTATATATCACATACTACAACTAAAGTAAAACATGCAATGTAATTCCAAGCGAGCTTAAATTTTACTTGTTACAAATTCATCAGTTTAGAAAATATCATTGTACCATACAATCTCTCTTATTACAATGTTTTCCTTAATGGTAACATACTTTTGTAATTAAAGTAACAGCTAACCATACACTGTTATAGACGAAAATAGGTCAATTTGTCTCTGGCATTGCTATCTTTCTTTCTTGACGCGAACGCGCATTTTTCGTCATTGTTTATACACCTACCTATAGATGATACTTCTGTAACATTATTGCTAATGTTTGTTGTGTTTTTAGATCTATTTTCGATTACGCTCCTATCGTTCTCTTTATCGATCGTTTGTATCTTAATTTTGTCTAACTTTGTATGTGATCTAGTGGTCTTTTTCTGCGTGATATCGGGCCTGTTATTGTTAACTGTATTTCGTTTTCCTAATGCGTTGTTGTTTGACTGATCAAACACGATATCAGTGTCTTTATACACGACATTGGCAATGTCCGACTCTTCCTCGGTATATTGCAACTTTTTCGGCTTAAGGTCTACCCTCTTAGACACTATTTTGCTTTTTATCGGCGCTTTCGGCGTTACGACAGAGTTCTTTTCCATCGGTGGTGTCTTGAACGATGAGTCACACGAATCTCCGTCAAACCGACGTTTATGGAATAAGTTGAACTGAATAGTACAAACGCAAACAAGAATTACAATTCTGTTGTAATAAGGGGACTCAGTTATTTTCTTCCATAAATTACCTGGGGCAACAAACTCGCCGATGCGTTTAACAATTCTACCTGACCGAATTCCGATTTCTTGAACAGCATCGTGGGTGTTTGTTGCTTCAGCTCCCGCCGTTGGATAGGACAATTTTTACGTTGCATATTGCGTCCGTATTGAATCCGTGAAAATTAAAATCTTATCGAATGTTTATGCAAAATAAAGGCTGAAGGCAAACAACAATTATTTTAGCACGACAAGGAAGGAAAACACTAGAGGAAAAAGACTAACAAAGAGACTCTATCAAAATAGGGAAACTGCGCAATTTTGTTACGAAAAAAAATCGCGAAGGAGAAAATTCCCGAGTAAACGATAAACCCGCCGCGTTTATAACGGGGTCCACACGACTTTCCGCAGGGCGTTTCTTGCACGGCAGCAGAGACCAATGAAAATTTGAATTTAATAACAAACGATAAGCGCATAAAGTGTGTCGTTTAAATATTCATTTGAAAACTATATTGTTTATATGAGCATTTAACGCTACTATTATATTTCCCTGTGTTTGAACGATTCGTATAAATATTTTGTACGACGATAAACTTCACGTTAGGATCACTATCAATCTTTAAAGCGTTGTAATTACCGCCAGAGCTGCGATTGGCCGGTGGAAATTACATCGCGCTTGGTTCAATTCGATTGGTTATTTGCGATTCAAAAAAGCAACGATTATAATCGTTGTAAATTAAAAAATAATACGTTAGAAATAACTGACTTTTAAAAAAATTAATTTAAAGATGATAATAGTGTGAGGACACTCTAGGGTTCGATCTGATGTTAATAATTAGTGGAAACGAAATATTAAATAAATTAATATTTCGTCACTCCATTAATGAAATAACATCATTGCTGACTAAAGATGACTGCTTGCATCATTGCCATTAACATTAGAAGCGCATGAATGCATTTACATGCGTAACGAATCATTTTTCATGGTAGCAAATATGTATGTATATGCGTGCAACATATTTACATCATTGTTCATCTCGTCCCATAAATATATTGTACATTATTTTTAGAAATGACACAATACGACCATTCCCGAAGCATAATGTAAACATAGAAAAATGTAATGAGTCATTAAACACAATATTTTTAATGTGTCGACTTTTATTATTTACAAAAGAAGATAAGGTGTATCAATTATCAGTTTGTATACGCTTGTACAGAATTTCGTTTGCCAAACATACATATGCACATAATTCCCCTTTTACACGGCTAACAATTTTGTTACGAAGATTTCCACGGTTTCTCAATGATTTTCTATTCGCACCGTGCTCGGAAAATTGCCATGACCCGATCAAATTGTGTTTCGCGGCCGAAAATTGCCGAAGTGACGTTCGGCTCCCTCGGGTGGTCACATAGAAAATGGAGTTTGAGCGAGGCAAGCGAAGCAGCTATTCGCCATCGTTGATGGGCGCACAACGAGGGTCCTGAGCTGGCTGCGCCGTGTATCTAGTGATTAACCCGTATTTTTGTGCTTAATGCGAGCAAAAAGTACGTCGAGGTGAAACTGGAACCGACTGTGAAACGATCGAGGGTAAGTTTGATCAACTAATTTGGTATCTAAGGGAAAAAACACGGAAGGAAAACTTGGAGCATTGGCGACCATCCGTTTACAGAACGCATAAACCATTTTCTGCGCATGCGCGATCGCGGGAACGATAAATTTACGTAGAATACCGTGCGTTTCACGATCGTAAAGATCCCGCGAGACAAATGATCGGTTTACTCAATAAAAATTGATGTATTTAGAATTTCGAACGAGAACGCGATAATGCTTGCAACTTATATTACCGCGCTGATATTATTTTGACATCTGCATGGAGCGAAACGAACTAATTCAAAAGTGACCAGTAATGTCTTTTTCTATATAACACCGTTTTGTATATTGTTTTTCAGCTAATTAAAATTTATGTCAACTTGTAAGCTTATTATTAAATTACTTATTTGGCGTTCAGAATTTCTATACATATGGTTTGATACCTATAATTTAAGCATTCTGTAATTATTATATGTTTTTTGTTACATATTCATGTCCATTTTTTTTTTCAAATTGTGATTATATTGTTGTATATAAGAAGTTTTTATTGCAACAGGAAAGTATATTTTTCGACTGGTTTCCTTCTTCAGATCCCACAAAATGTCATCCGCACAAGTTGATCGTCCCACAAAAGTGGGTCAGATCAATAAAAAAGAGAATGAGAAGTCAAGGAAGACTTTTAACTCCTCTCATAAGAAGCACAAGCATGAAGATGGTCGTCATTTTAAGTTTGGTCGTAAACGTCTGCAAAGTTTTACTAGTAATGGTAAATTCTTTCCACCATATAAACGCAGAAAGAAGGAAGGTGTCATTATACCACCAACAAAGTTTCTGCTTGGTGGCAACATATGTGATCCGTTGAATTTAAACAGTATGCAAGACGAGGAAATAAATAGAGCTATGAATGCTGTTACACCTAAGTCTAGCCCACTGCCCACACCTAAACACAAGAAAGAGGCAATCGAAGTTATTATACCTCCTAATATTTGTGATCCACTGAATCTGTGCAATTGCAGTGATGACGATGAATATGAAAAACAGCTGATTTCTCCAACAAAAAAAGGTTCCAAACGCAGAAACAGAAAGAAAAAGAGAGCATCTTCAGGTTCTGGGAAGGATGATGCAAGTGATCCATCCGAATTGAAAATTAAAGAGAGTGACATAACTGATGTTACAGAACCTGAAGAGCAGGCTGCACCAGAAAAAGTTGAAACAGCACAGCAGTGTGCACCGTTAAACTCTCCACCACCTAATCAGCCTAAAGAATCCAAACCAGAAAGTCCACAGAAAGATAAAAATAAACTACGGTTAAAAGGTTTAGAAGAACCAAAAGATAAACGATTACGGAAGGTTGATGTAAAAGATAAAATTGTTAGCCCTGTGATTCCTCAACCCGGAGCATGGAAACCTAGACCACAACACCGGCCTAGCCAGGATAAGAAAAAGAAGCAAACAATGCCAAATTTCAGAGAGAAAAATGCACGTTATCAGTATGGCAACTACAATAGGTACTATGGCTATCGTAATGCTCATCATGAAGTAGACACAAGACTGACAGTATTTGCACAACGCAAAGAGTTATTCATTGGGAAAGATGTATTGGATATCGGTTGCAATATTGGCCATATTACTCTGTCCGTTGCAAGGGACCTGGCAGCTCATAGTGTAACTGGTATTGACATTGATCGAACACTCATCATTATTGCTAGAAAAAATATCAAACACTATGTCAATTGTGTACAGTCCCCTGCTGGTAACGAAGACAGCGATCACCATGATGTAAACTTCTTCCCGATCTCTATGCCAATCAATTATGGACCGGTTGATATTCCAGGTTTCACAAAGAACAAGAATCACAAAGGTTTTCCTTATAATGTTACTTTTGTGCAGGTATTCTATCAAATTAAAAATTCCATTTAATACATTATGTATACAGAATGCAACAAATCTAAACACTTTTTCTTTTAGGGTAATTACGTACTCGAAGATGACGCCCTTCTGTGCACAGAACAACCGCAGTTCGATACGATCCTCTGCTTATCCATCACCAAGTGGATACACCTGAATTTCGGAGACGCGGGACTCAAGCAAGCCTTTAAACGAATGTACGCTCAGCTTCGTCCAGGTGGAGTTCTTATTTTGGAATCCCAAGGTTGGAGCAGTTACACCAAAAAGAAGAATCTTACAGTAAGTACAATTTTTTTAAAACGTGAACGTACAACACATTGCTTTATCATTCAAAAATATTAATTCACTCTCGTGTTTCAGGAACGAATATATAAAAATTACCAGAATATCGAGTTTCAACCGCACAATTTTACGCAGTATTTACTATCGCCCGAAGTGGGTTTCTCCAAGTGCGAAGTGCTCTCTATTCCCCCTCATCCATCGAAGGGCTTTCAACGGCCGATTCATCTGTTCACGAAGCCGGGATCATCTCAAGAGAACACAGAAACTTCCACGCTGAAACGGCAAGAGCGGACAAACGAAGAGAGGAAGGAGCAAATAGAGCGTAGAGCGTACGAAAAGAAGTTGTTCCAGAAAGGAAATACCAAGGAGGGGAACATGTCGGAAATCAGCCAACAAAGCAATGAGTCCATGAGTCAGTACGATCAATTGGAAAATGTTTACGCACCCAGCGCGACACCGTGTTACGACACACCGGGTTACAACAACGACAGTCAACCGCCGGACGCCTCGAAGATGTGCTACCTGGACGTCAATATGGAAAACGACAAAACAGAGTTGGAGAGCCAAGACGCGACTGACAAGACTACGGAATCCACTACGGAAACTATGTCGCGGAAGCGTAACTTGGATGCGGTGGCTGACGATCTTTCTACGATAGACGCAAAACGTCCTAAAAAGGTGGAAGAGGCGGTCGAGACCAAACCAGTGGAAGCCAACAAAGAATTAGCACCTCGGGCGACGGTTTCCGACGACAGTGAGTGTAGGTTAGAAAAAAAACAAAAAGGGGACAACGAATTAAACGCTCGACCGGCAGTGGACAAGTCAGTTTCGAATTCCGAGGATTGCATAGAAGACAAACAGGATTCGAGGATCGTGGATCAAAAGGAAGAGGACAACGGATCGAGGAGTCGTTGTGAAGAAGAACAGACGGGAACGCAGCGCGGCGAACTGACCTCGGACAACACGTAAATTAGTACTCTGAACGCTTTTTGCGTGGAAAACGAGCGGTGCTATCAAATTCTGGCTGTTTGGTTGTTATCCATTTACTTGGCCAATCGTTTTTCATTCTTGTTTTTCTTGTCCTTCCATTCCTTGTTCATCTCGTAAACATTCGTATGAATTACGTCACGTTGAAATGGAAGCAGCGGACGCGGAATTCCATCGAGATCTCGTGCGTCGAGCGATTCCAATGGCAACGATGACGAACTTGAAACTCGATCCGTCTTCATTGTTTGTACCGTGCGAACGGGACGAATGTTTCTGAGCGTTCCAAAGCGCCCTGTCGCTGGACGCGCACCCGTACAGTTTCGTTTGTTCGTTTCGTCTCTCCTCTCCTCATTTTGTAATCGATTTTTATTATTTCATTGAAAACCGAGTTACGCCGAGTAAGCGGATAGGTGTCCCCTTAGAATACCTGGTGAGAGTTTCAGTGTCTTTGTATCGGTGCGTTTGAAATCGATCTCGAATATTATAGAGACTATAGTTGGAGCAAAATCAATTGGCCTAGGAGCTGTTTCCCTGTAACGCGTAACGGATGTTACAGGGAAGAGGGTAATACCGTCGGAGTGGGGATAATGACCTTGACCGGTTAGTTTAGCCACTGCTGCCAGTATAAGATGAGAGCAATTACGCGCCGACTATACACCAAGTGTCGGGCAAGTTTTTAATCAATTTCCTCGACGAAAACAACTCGTACGCAAAAGAATTATTCGTATTAATTCGACGTAATTTTTCATATAGCCTAATTCCAGTTGTACCATCGATCGACGGGACACCACCTTGTAGAACGGATGATCGTTACCGAGCGTTTTAGCGGGAAGATAGGTGTAACAGAAAATTCCTTAACGGCCTCGCGATAGCCAATTAAGTTTGCTCCAACCGAGTCGTACGTGTTACACACACGGCGCACTGCGATGCTCCATTAGAGAGATAATGCGCGGTGGGGAGGATACCGGGGTGGGAGGGGGGGATAACAAGAAACATAAATCAAGTACTGTACACGATAGAAATTGTATCGCTTTACGTAGCACGATTGTGATAGCGAGAGGACAGGGCGTGCTTTACCCCAGGCTGTGTCTGACGTGAGACAAGGGCAAAAGGTGATGGGCGAAACAAATTCTAAGTGCCGTGCCTAATTCAGAGCGTTTTCTCATTGTTCGCTGTACGTACTGTCCGAGGGGCACAGTTTGTCGGTCGACGGAATAGACT